ACTGAGTTTTCAGGCGCAAATATTTTCTGCAAGGCACTAGCCCTAACCCAATTCTGAAAGAAAGGAATGGAAACATAAGCAAATATGGAAATGAATGTTAAGAGAGCTGCTTACACTGAGAGCGGTATGACTTTGGAATTTTCATGCATATAATTATTGCTTAGTAACTGTGTCAGAGAAACAGAGGGAGTGTTTATCACGATGAATTTGGCAGCAGTCCTCCTTCTGTGGGACTCTGGCTGAGCTGATTAGGTGTTTAGAATCCAGCCCCACACGTGCTTGGCATAAACAGATCCTGAACTTCACAGGACAGAACAGCATTAAGGAGAGGAAACACCTAAACTCCGTGCATGTGTGTGTGTGTGTGTGTGTGTGTGTGTGTGCGCATGCATGTCTTTACAAACAGGAAGGAGCAATGGAAACTAGAGAGGGAAACTCATTTCTCGTGGACAGGATTCCTACTTGGAAGAAATGAAACTTAAGCACTGAACTATGACTCCACTACCAGGATTCAGGACCTGTTCTGTGTTTAACCGACTAGCTGAGTGAACTTGATTTCACTTCAACTCTGAGTTGCCTCATCCATGCTATAAGAAGCTTGGCTTTTAACAGTGGTTTACAACCTTGGCTTCAAACTGAAAAATTCCTGGGAAATCTTAAAAACTTGCCTGAGCCAATTTTCAGTCCAATGAGTCAGAATCTGAGGCGGGAATATCTAGATTGCCTTAACCTGAAGCTCAGAACAGAACACCCCTATCTCAGCTGCTGCACAGTCAGGCGTGACATGAGGCACCTCTCTCTCAGTGCCCACTGGGAAAAACTGTAGCGGGAAGGGCTCCGGCTGATGGTCAGCACAGACCATACAGATGGAGGGGCTCGTCCCACACCATGAAAGCAACACTCACAATTACAGAATGCTCTTCAATGAGACGTGCTTTCCATGCGATAGCCCATTTCATCTCAGCACAAACGCGTGTGGAAAGTCATATTGCTATCCTAATTTTACAGGTAAGTAAATGTGGCTTAGAAATGTGGCCTGACGAGCCCGAGATCACACATCCAGTGAGCAGCAGAGTCTAGTAATGCCCCCAGACAGTCTGGCTCCAGGTGGCCTTCACCACTGAGCAACACCATCTTGTGTGCACAAAGACAAGTGAGAACGAAAGGTTTTAACATTTCTCATTGTGCCCAAGCTGGGGAGGAGGGAAGGAAACCTCAGGAAAAAATGTCTCATTGGCCCCATGCATAGGTTAACAGTTGTTCTATGATGGAATTTTACCACCTTGTACTCGGAGAACACAACCCTGAAATAGGTAAGATGGCACACGTCTGTGAGAAACCCCCTTCCAACAAGAGATTCTGTCACCTGGCAGGTCTAGGAAGTTCTTTCTAATGGCCTGAGTTTGCTCATTCCCAGATGAGACGATGTTGGCCTGACAGTCACTCTTCCCTTTAAGCAAACCTGGGCTTGCACAGCAGGCCTGCCTGGACCTATTTCCCTTCTCTTTGTTCCCCTGGGTGGTTTCACCCTTGATTTCTGCACTCATTATGCTTAGAAAATCGTACTACCTACTTCTACAATTAGACTTTACTTAAGGCATGGGATTCATATTCTCATTATTTAAGTAATCCTGAGATTTGGTGGGTGTGGGGAGAATCACATGGATCTAAACAATGTCTTGTATTTATAAGATGTCGAGAGGGTCAGTACATTTTTCTCAGAACTTGTCTCATACTGATGGACAGATGTGGTCTATCTCAAGTTGCCTAAACTCCTCCTTTTAAATAGACATGGAAAGAAGTTTTTAATTCACACAGGGAGAGATTTTATACTACTGCTTCTCTTCTTCTAAGAGATCTGCATATTTGACCTGTGAATGCATAAAATCCTGTTTGATGTTCCTTTCTGGGTATTCCTTCTTATCTATATAATCTATGGTCTTAGAAAAGTCAAGATACCCCTCTGTCTGCTGGAGCGATAACACAGAAATTCCATGACAAGAAAGAGAAGAGCAGCCCTGAACATCTGGGAGCTGGCCTGGTACTGTCCTGTAGCACATAAACAATTTTACAAAACAGTGACATCAGAAAAAGCCATCCTGTGACCTTGATGGATCAAGACAAAATACATGGCCACTCTGTAATCATGTCTGAGCTCAGGCAAACAGCCTCCTAACCTGGCTAATGCAAGTGACTATTGCTTCTTTTCAAATTACACCTTTAACGTTGGTCTAGTCTTTCCTCTTTTCTAGCTATGATTTAAGATACCCAATCATGGAATCATTCCTGCTTCCTGCCAACATCTGATTCCAAGCAAAGCTCCCCTTCCTTAAATCCTCCCCATAATCTCCTAACACAAGCCCAAATCCGTTAAGTCCTTTGTAACACCCTCTTATTGAGATACCCCATGGTTCCCCAGAGTGTATGTCCTCTTTCACTGCAGTGAGTAATATACCCAATGTGCTTGAACACGAGTGTGTTTCTGGTGGTCTTTGGCTGGAGGGGATTGACACTGAAGATGCTCAGCTCTTGCTGCAGTCACCCCTTCATCATCCTTCACCCATTACAGTGAAGCAAGACCAGCCAGAGGTCCAAGACAGACTGGGAAATTTACCACCATGAGAAAGGCACTGAAAGAATAAAAGGAATATCTAATATCTAAACCGCATGAGCATTACAGCACATAGGCACTATAAGCTCAGAGAAAACATTTCTGAAAAGTCTCATTATCTTAGTATCTTATCAATTCTCTCTTCTTACAGTTAAAGAATTAAAATACTGTTCAGACCAACAAAGTAAATAGTCTGAATTTGAACAGATCATGATATCTGAGATTTGGAAAAGTATATACAATTTTAAATTTTTTCTAATCATCTCTATTAGTTATGGTAATGCATGCATGGTGTTATTCAAAAAAGCCTTCAAATATGACTTGGGAAACAATATAGGAATTTATTTCTCAAATTACTGATTGGCAGGTATCTACCCTCCCTCCAGTGATTCAGAGACTAAGACTCTTTTCATTTTTTTTTTTTTTTTTTTTTTTTTTTTTGAGACAGAGTCTTGCTTTGTTCCCTGGGCTAGAGTTCAGTGATGTCATCATAGTTCACTGCATTCTCAAACTCCTGGGCTCATGTGATCCTCCTGCCTCAGCCTCCCACCATACCAAGCTAATTTTTATATTTTTTTATACTTTATATTTTTTTGTAGAGATGGCATCTCACTATGTTGCCCAACCTGGTCTTGAACTCCTGGGCCTAAGCAATCCTACCACCTCAGCCTCCCAAAGTGCTAGGATTACAGGTATGGGCCGCCACTCCCAGCTTCCTTCCATCTTTTGACTCCACTGTCTTTAATATATTGCTTCCAAGTGTTTACACAAAAGAGGAAAAAACATGAAAGATGATGGATGGACGTTTTATGAGCTAGGCCTGGAAATGGCACACATAATGTTTGCCCATTTTCCATTACCCAAAATTCAGACACACGACCACACCTTACCTCAAGGAAGCCTAGGAAATCTTGCCAAGTTACAGGTCCAGGACAAAGGAGAAACAGCACAGCTCGGCTACAGTTTCACTTGGTAATTATGTGTAGACTATAATAAAGTTAATAACCTTATCTTGAAATACTCACTCCAGGGAAATTGGTCTTGGTCTTTGCCCTTTTGCTCATCTTGGTGCACTACCCTCCTACGTAACCAAGGCATGAAACTTGCAGGGTGACTCAGTAACACCTCGCAAGAGGATTTCAGAGTAATAGTTTTCCACACTTTTCTTTTCCCCTTCTTGTTGTGCAGACAATTATACCAACCTTGGTCTCAAAGAAAGTTTTTCATTAGATATGTGAAAGTTGTTTGATTGACTTTCTGGTGGTTGTTGCTTTGTAACAGGTGACCTAAAAAATAGTGGAAACAGAAGATGCATGAGGATAACCCAGAAGAATTATGTAAATTTAGATTTAGATTTTAACATCCACACATCATAGAGTACTGTGAACCTCAGTGGTCCCATCACATTCTCTGTCCATAAGCACATGTTCCTGTACTGACTAGCTTAAACACAGTTGTTTGAACCACTGATGGTGGACAGTAAAGACCATCAAAATAATCAGTATGCTTATGTGGGCTCCACCAGAATCTGAATTGGTAGGAACACAAATGCTGCTACAGGATGTAAATATGACACTTTTCTTCAGACCAATATCTCTAAACCCAGAGGGAACCATTTTGCCTAACACAGCCTCACAGAAGAAAACCTAACCACGTGCAACCTCATTCGTCCACAAATTGATAATGGCTCTCTGTAATATTCCTTTAGGCTGAAACCACTGACCCTGGTCCAAGGAGCTTTGATTGCAGGTGTCCCTGGAACCACCTGGCTGGGTACACGTGATAGTAACAAATTATACACACAAATATACATCCTGTCCTTCGCTGGCCTTTCCACGGCACTGAACATCAACAAGAGGTCCAGCTATCCTCCATTTCCTAGGTCACATTGACCCCAGCAGGGAATTTGCATATCAAAACTGCTTGTCACAAATACCCCTTTAGTTGCCAAAACTGAGCATGTGTTTGGAATCAAAGCAGAGACAGCCTTCTCTTTCTAAGTTTCATTTTTACCCTGTGAGTTTCACTGGAACTCTATTGAGGTTGTGACAAAGTATCTGGGACTACCTCCCACATATGAGCACCGTGCTTGTCTGAGAAGCCCGAGGACTCTGTGGTCAAACCTTGGAGGAGCCTCCCAGCCTGAAGCAAAGCATCATGGTGCACCTGCTGTCCCACAGCACCGTGAGGTAAAGGCTTTCTCTGTTTTGCTGATCTTATTTCTGGGCATTTTGAAATTCCAAAACTTTCCTTAAGGACCGGTTCCGTAGTGGGCATCCTCCTAAAGGACCTGTTCCACTCGTGGTTCTGACCCTGAGGGGCACCTTCAACCTGGTAACGGAGGGAAGTTTAATAAGGGAGCTATTTAATATGTTATGGGCGTAGTTTAGGGAAATTAATAGGAGAAGGTACTGGACAGGGGCGTGGTGTGACAATAGTGGTAACATGACAATCCTAGGCCTGCAGGGGCAAGAAGAGGGAGCAGTGACCAGGCTTGGGGAGACCCCTAGCTGTAGCTGCAGGGGAGGGGCTTCTCGAGAGGTCTTTGGTGAAAAACTCAACCACTGACAACCCAAAGCAGAGCCCAGTGGACGCTTAGGAATTAATAGCATGGCCTTCACCTCCTCCTGTGCTCTGATGATGTCATTCTCATAGCACTTTCTAAGGGAGGGACAATTACTCAGGGGATACTTACCGACTATTCGCCAGAGCCTAGAGGGGAGACTGGCCTGGGGCCCAGTCAGAGCAAGAGGATTTAGAGACTTTCAGGCATCCAGGGGGGAAGGGGAAGCCATTTTTGATCTGATAATTCAGTTAAATTCAGGTGGGAAAGAGAAGAAGCTATTGTCGCAGATGGCCATTTCTCTGTTCTTTTTGATATCAAGTCAAATTTTGTGATTACTGTGAAACTATGAAATTGTGATTACTATGAAATTTACTTTTCACTAAATCAACCGTTTTCAAAGTGTGGTCCCCTGGCCAGCAGCAGCATCACCTGAGAACTTGTTAGAAAATGCAGATTCTCAGGTCCTGCCCTACACCTGCTTGCTCAAAAACTCTAGGGTGGGGCCCATCAATCTGTGTGTTATACGTCTTTCAGGTAATCACGTTGTATGCTAAAATCTGAAAAACTACTCTACTAGATGGTAGAAAATAAGAAACTTTATCAGGGTTGTTATGTGTTTGTTCTAGAAAATATATACTCCTTTTTTTTCCTAGTTTGGTTAGAACTGGAAAACTGCAGAAAATATTTTCTGCTCAAAAGCATTCTGATGGACTCAAGTTCCGCCATAGGATGTTGCAGTCAGTGAGAAAAGACGAGCTTGTAGAAAAAGGGGTCCCTTCTCCAGGATAGGATCCCTTCTCCAGGAAACATCTATACCTGTCCTGGGAAGAAATTGCAAGTGAGGGATTGCAAAGAAATTTACCATAAGAGTCCCTAAGTCTCTCTTTTTACTATAATGAGTTCCTGGTCATTAAATGATGTTAGCTGTGTCTGTATTTGTGGAGGTGACAGAAAGCAAGCCTTCTCTCACCAACTTTGGTAACTAGGCTACCTAGTTTGAGGTTTGGCAATGTCCTGTGCTTATGTTTCTAGAACTTCCTGACCTGCGGCAGCCTAAAGGGGCTCTGGACTATCCCGGACTGAGTAAAGCCCACATCAAAATACTCCTGATCCCAGTGGATCTCTTCCTATGTCTCACAAATATACTGGCAGGGCCAGAGGTACCTGAGATAGGGGTACATAGTTAGAAAGCCTAGAATGGCCTGTCCCCGAATATTCCAGTGGCTCTAGAGTAATGGCTGTCTGTGTGGATGATTTTCCCTGGCAGTGTCTGTTGTCATCATACCATGAGCTGCAGTGGACACAAGTGGAGCGTTTGGGTCATCTTCTTTAAGGATGGTGACTATTTTCAGTTTTCAGTGAGCATGCTTAGACACAATATTGATTTTACTCACTCCTGATCCCACCCCCAACATACCCCCCCCACACACACACAGGTTGGGTAATATTCCTGGGCCACAGCTGGGTGGTGAAAAGGAAGGTTTCTGGAGCTCCTCACCTCGGCAGTCAACCATGCAATCCTGCCCAAAGCAAGAACAGATTCAGTGTCAGGGTATCATGTTCCGTGAACTCAGACCTGGGGAGGATGGTTTGGGAGTGTGCACAGGAATGCACTCAAGGAAGATCTAAGCATAACGGGGAGTTTCTGAGGTGGAGACCCTGGGGAAAATGAGAGGGTCGCACTGAGCCACCAGCTATGCTTACAGAGGCAGTAGTAAGTCCGAGTATCCTCTGCCCACCTGGGTAGTATTATCCATCACTGTGTGAATTTTCTCTTCCCCTTTATTTTCAAAAGAGAATGTTTCATAGTCTTTTGTGTGTGTGTGTGTGTGTGTGTGTGTGTGTGTGTGATTTATACAAAAATTGTTTTTTTTTTTTTTTTGAGACAGAGTCTCACTCTGTTGCCCTGGCTAGAGTGCCGTGGCATCAGCCTAGCTCACAGCAACCTCACACTCCTGGGCTCAAGCGATCCTACTGCCTCAGCCTCCCGAGTAGCTGGGACTACAGGCGTGCACCACCATGTCCGGCTAATTTTTTATACATATATTTTTAGGTGGCTGATTAATTTCTTTCTATTTTTAGTAGAGACGGGGTCTCGCTCTTGCTCAGGCTGGTCTCGAACTCCTGAGCTCAAATAATCCGCCCGCCTCGGCCTCCCAGAGTGCTAGGATTACAGGCGTGAGCCACCGCGCCCAGTCTCAAAAATTGGTTTTTGCTATACATTGTCATACATAGAGTTAAATAAAATTTCATAAGGGTCCTCACTGGGATTTTCCTTGGGCCTAATGGGTAGAAAGCATGGCAAGTACAGAAGATGGGGTAATTAGTTGAGAATATGTAGGCAGATACACCTACATATGATACAAGAACCATTTTTTCAACTATTAGAGACAAATTTCTTTTTCTTCCCTCATATTCTTATAGGAGGACTAGGACTTTAGCTCCACTTCATTGGAAGATGAAATATTGGAGAGAAAACTCCTAGTCCCACTGATCCTGTATTATTCTCCCTTCCCCATGGGTAACTGAGAGATTACTGTAATTCTTAAGATTTTGAATACCTGTCTTATTCTAGGCTGCAGGGTTACCTAACGTCAGGGTCACTGAATTACAAAAGTGGCATTTGCTACTTCCTCAAATAACACATCTGACCTCATGCAATGTTCACTCACCCCCCCTATTTTCTGTCCCCATGCAGTAAGCCTGCCACTGTGGGGGGTTCTACCCATTTTCAACCTCTCTGTTTAGGATTGGTTGAGCGAGTTCATACAAGCAAAGGAGGTAGGAGGTAGGATGCCCTACCACGTCCTCCAACCCAGCTTAAGCATCTAGGGAGCCCATCATTTGAAACTGTATTCGGCTCTCATATTTTACTCAGAACCCTTCATGGGAGGAGAGAAAACCAAAATATGTTTATATGTTGGGAACATGGAAAAGAGTAAGAAATCCATCCTTCTGTGCACCCTCTCTCCACATTTCTTCTGACAGTATTAGTCCTATACTATGATGTTGGGAAGAAATAGACGGGGGGGAGAAGGGTTTTACAGTGTGGAGGGTGGTGCTGAAGTTGTTATGGTAATAGCAGATTTAATCTCTTTTGACTTGGCTTTTAGACGTCACTTACCCTATCTGTTGGCACCAAGAAATGATTAACATTTCATCAGGATTTTTATGCCAACCTGCTCTTGTCCTAATGACATGACTATGGCACCCAGTGAGGCAACAGATAATGGAAACAGGGATACTAGGAGGGAGAATATTTGACTATTGGAAGTGCTAATTTCATTTTCAGTAAACTGAATACTCCTAAAAAACAGAATTAGTTGCTGTCTATTTTTACAGTGAAGAATCTAATGAAAACCTCATGAAGGACAACCTAGTTCAGTTGAGATGTCAGTTCACATGGAGTTATTAACTGAAGACTCTAAAATGCCTGTTTTCTGTTAGAAAACATAGTCTTGGACCAGATTGAGTTCCTAGACAGGAAAAGGGTGCTGAATTTTGTCAAATGCTTTTTCTGCATCAATTGAGATGTCATGTGATTTCTTTCCCATTATTCTATTAATGTGGTATATTACATTGATTGATTTTTGTACATAGAACTATTCTTTTGTATGATATTCTCTATTTATATGACATTCTTGAAATGACAAAATTACAGAGATGCAGAACAAATTAGAACAAATTAGTGGTTACCAAGGGCTAGGGATGTTTAGGGGGTGCAGGTGAGGAGGTGACAGGTGTGACCCTAAAGGGTTAGCATGAGGGAGATGTGATGGTGACAGAGTAATTCTGTAGCTTGATTAAGGCGGTGGTTCCATGAGTTCACTCATGTGAAAAAATGACCCAGAACTGTACACACACATTGTTGTTATACCACTAAAATCCAAGGACAAGCACTAAAATACAAAGTGTTGTATCCAGCTTTTTTCTTTTGGCTGTTCCTCGCCTAACAAAGAATCTGCTTTTGTTTCCGCAGTCGGAATGCTGATGATCATCCGGTCAAGGGTAACCTGGTTCAGCTGAGGTGTCACTTCACGTGGGGGCTGCAAATTAAAGACTCTGAAATGCCTGATTTAGAAAACAGGGTCTTGGACCAGATTGAGTTCCTAGACAGCAAATACAATGTGGGAATACACAACCTACTGGCCTATGTGAAACACCTGAAGGGCCAGGATGAGGAAGCCCTGGAGAGCTTGAAAGAGGCTGAAGGCTTAATCCAGAGAGAGCATGCTGGCCAATCAGACGCAAGAAGTGTGGTGACCTGGGGCAACTTTGCCTGGGTGTATTACCACATGGGCAGACTGGCAGAAGTCCAGACTCACCTGGACAAGGTGGAGGACACTTGCAAGAAGTTTGCAAATCTCTTCCGCTATAGAATGGAATGTCCTGAGATGGACTGTGAGGAAGGATGGGCCCTGCTGAAGTGTGGAGGAAAGAATTATGAACGGGCCAAGGCCTGCTTTGAAAAGGCTCTGGAAGTGCACCCCGAAAACCCTGAGTTCAACACCGGGTATGCAATCACTGCCTATCGCCTGGATGGCTTTAAATCAGCAATAAAAGGTCACAAGGGGTTTTCTTTGCACCCCCTAAGGCTGTCAGGCTAAATCCAGAGGATGCATATATTAAGATTTTCCTTACCCTGAAGCTTCAGGATGAAGGACAGGAAGATGAGGGAGAAAGGTACATCGAAGAAGCTCTGGACATCATGTCCTCACGGACCTATGTCTTTCGATATGCGGCCAAGTTTTACCGAAGAAGAGGCTCTCCAGATAAAGCTCTTCAGCTCTTAAAAATGGCCTTACAGACAACACCCACTTCTGCCTTCCTACATCATCAGATAGGGCTTTGGCACAGGGCACAAATGATCGGAATACAGACAGCTACAGACATGAAGCCTAGAGGGCAGGATAAAGAAAAGGTAGACAGACTTGTTCAATTGGCTGTACATGAATTTGAAAAAACTTTAACACTAAAGCCCACATTTGATTTGTCTTACATTGACCTGGCTGAAATGTATGTAGAAAGAGGGCACCATGAAAAGGCTGAGGACACTTTTCAGAAAGTGTTATGCATGACAATCATTGATGATTACATACAGCAAGAGATTCATTACCGCTACGGCCGTTTCCAAGAGTATCACAGGAAATCTGAAGATAAAGAAATCACCCATTATTTAAAAGGTCTGAAAACAGAAAAAATGTCCGATGCAAGGGAAAAAATTCTCAATGTTTTAGAGAAATTGGCTAAAAGATGCATTGACTGCAATGTACATGTTGTGGAAAGTTTCAGCCCCCTTGGTCTAGTCCACAAATTGAAAGCGGACGTGAGTGACGCCCTGCTGTGCTACGAGAGGGCCCTGAGGCTGGCTGCTGACCTAAACCCTATGTTTTGAACAGAGGCCACCACCACTCGTTTAATGTTCCCATACTAAATATAACAACTGTGAAATTAAATAATTCAAACTTGAAGCTGTTGGAATTTTAAGTTATTCCGAGCCTCGAGAGGAATGTGGCTATGTGGCCTGAATCACATAGCGTGCAGCTGCAACCTCTGCTGTGTCCCCTAAATGATTAGGAAAGTCTTTGTGGCACCAGAGATAAGATCCCCTCAGATCATCACCCCTCCTCATGGAATGTTAAAGCAGTCTTCCTTGGAATATAAAGAGCTGTAACCAATCAAATCGCTATAACGTGCACTGACCTTGAATGAAAAATGTTGCAGCCCTGTTAACTGTCTATATAAGTGAAACCTTAACTTCCCCACTTTGGAATGCTGCCCCAGTCCATTTGGAGTCTGCGTTTCTGGGTATCTGTCCTCAAGCTTTGCACTCAAATAAACTGTGTACTTAGTCATATTTTCTGAATCACATTATTTCAGGTCGACACATAATCTTTCCTAATTGTTATCTTCAAAAATGTATACCCTGATGAAATGCAAAAGAGTTTGATACAACACATACTGTGCTGCCTGCCTGTCTTTCTTTCACTTCAATCCATGTGTCCATGGCAGGAGCATCCATTCTTCCACACCAGAGTTCTGTGCTCATTGACCAAGGCTGATTAATACTGCTTAAGGCACCTGTCATGGGCTGGACCAACAAGCATCCTTTTCCTTATGATTTTGCCATTGGAATGAACAGCTTCCATCCTCAGTCTAGCTGGTGTTCCAAACAGAGAAGACTTAAACAGGAAAAGTTCCTATTCTAAGAGGCTGGGATCACTAATCAGCAACAATATCTAAGCATGAAACAAATGAGCAAAGAAGAAAGATAGAAAGAAGGAGGGGACTTCAGGAGTTCTACAGCATTCTAGCCAGAGTTCCATTTCCTAAGGCCCTACTGTGGCCAGGACTTCCTGGTCAGTGAGCCACACCTATAACTGTACAATAAATTCAAACTTTTGCTCATATTTGTCCAGCTGCTGGTAATCACTAGAGTTCTATTACATGGGATCCAAATACATTGCCAGACATTTATTCACACCTGAGAAAACTTCAAATGTATCAGGGGAAGACAAATAAAGGAAAAACCTGTTTGGGATGTGCAAGCTGAAAATGACATTTATACCTTAATGCAGTTTTTAAGTACTTGATGGCTGCTGTGTATTATAATATATTCTCCCTTTTTTCCCTACCCAAAAATATTCGGTAAAATTTGCTAAGATCACAAATTCTTTACGTGTACTTTCTTGGTGACATTCAAAAAATATGTGTAGTCCATGTTTGGGTGGAAATAGAAAAATGTAGGACCAACTTATGCAGCCTGAAAAGGCCTGAGCAAAGGAAGCCATGGGAATATAAACCCTACCAGGTATTTTTAAATTTTTATTTATTTATTTATTTTTACAGATGGGGTCTCACTATATTGCCCAGACTGGAGTGCAGTGGCTATTCACAAGTGTGATCATAGTGCACTTCTGGGCTCAAGCCTCCTGCCTCACCTTCTGAGTAGCTGGGAATATAGACAGGCACCACTATGTCTGGCTTCCTACTAAGATTTTTTTTAAATATTAAGAAGCTGTTACATCTACAGGCCATGGAATTGGAAGGCTGACTTATGCTACTTGGATTCCTGAGAGCTGGGATTGACCAATGATGAGACGGGGTAAGATGGGAGGGAGGGGGTCATTCAGATGACAATTGGGGAACACACAAGTAACAACCTTTTCAACTTTGTTGATACTAGCAAAGGACAGATTTATTGGATTCAACCAGAGGAAACTACTGTTGACTTTTCCCTGTAAATAAGGTGTGACTGGGGCTCACCTAGCCTCTCTTTGAAATCCTGTGACTGAATTACCTGTGACTGCCACAGAGCCACTTATAGGGGGAAATTCACCTCCTCTCATAGAACAAATCTAAATAAGAAACCTGAGGACATATTTGTACTGATTAAAAAACACACAGACAATGTTCTTCCAACCAAACAACTCTAAGCTTTTGGTTTGGTTCAGTTCTGTAGCTGTTACTAAGCTGATAGGTCTTGTTCCTTAGCTACTAGCTAGTCTTGGCAAAAAGAATAGTCCATAGTCCTCTTGGCTGAATTCAGTACAAATGTAATAACGTTTCTCAGGTAGTTGGTAAGTTAACAGGAAATTAGGTTTTATTGCACCAAATTCACTCATTAACTAATATTGAAACTTTCCCACCACTCCAGGTACTGGAACCAAAATCTGAATCTACTTAACAGAGTTTATGAGTTTGTAGGGGTGTGTGTGTGTGTGTGTGTGTGTGTGTGTGTGTGTGCGTGTGCATGTGTGTAAGTCCTAACACAAGCTATTTTAATATCAACTCTCCCCACCCTGGAAACATACAAGGGACTTAATGAACAGTCATAGGTTGGCTGAGTATCTTGTAAGTGCTGTTCTAATCGGTGGATCCTACATGCAGTGTGCACCAGGGAAGAACAGAAGGAAGCTGGAAGATATATAAAAACTCATGTCTACCTGCTTATATTAAAATGAAAATGATGGAAGGATAAATGCTGTTGTGAAATGGTTATCTGTGAGAAAGGGAAGGAAAAGGAAAGAGGGATGGCAATAGGAGCTAGAATTCCCTGTATTTGTTTTTGGAACGATGTCAAGATTTTACCTAATTACAGAACAAACTTCATATTTAAAAAAATGATCCTCATATGCATGTTAAAGTGTTATAGCAACTAATTGTCCTGATTACCCTTTTATGCAGCAACAAAAAATAAGATAAACAAATGGATGAATAGAGAAACAAATGGATGAATAGATATGTGATAAAGTAAATATAGTAAACTGTTAACTGCAGAATCTGGATATATGGGTTATCATCGTAAAATTCTCCAAACCTTTTTCTCTGCTTGGCAATGTACATAAAAAAATGTTTGGATAAAAAGGGCAAATATCAATATCTAAAAAGTAAAGCAAATCGAGATAAATGAGCCAAAATATATGTGGCATGAAGGATAAAATAACATACAGAAGACAGATTCCAAGCGATTTATAATACACTGTAATTTGACTCTTTAATAAGGTAGGGATTATGGACAAAAATAACATGGGAAAAACTCTTAAAGTTTGCTCGGCAATCAATCTGGAAGTATTTTGTTGATTTTGTTATTCTAAGACTGCTGTTAGTGTATTGTCAAATAAATTATAGGAATAATTAAGTTGGTATCACTTTGAAAAATAATTTTCATTTTGAGAGGAAATATACACAGATGTAAGATCAATTAGGTTAAGTAAAAATCCTGTGTGCCTGAATTTGTAAGATGAGCTCATGTCATATTTTATCTTCAAAATATGCATACAGTACCAATGTCATTTTCCTGGTTTTAATACAGTTCTATGGTATTTGGGGAAATTGGGTGAAAAGTATGTAGGACCTTTTCTGCAACTTCCTGTGAATCTATAATTGTTTCAAAATAAGACTGAAATGTAAAAAAAAAAAAAAAAAAAAACAAGGCTGGTAGCACTTAAATATGTTGCAGTAAGCCAAATTTTGGGTCAAGGTGGGCTGAGTTGTCCCTGGGAGACCCATGAGAAGACGTGAAAATCATCAGATTTTCATTCACGACAAAGGACTTCTGGTGTCTAAGTCCTTTCTCCATGGATGCGATTGGAAGTATTTTAGGAATAATCTCAAAAACCAAGAGCATAGTTTTCTTATAGTGGTCAAAATACTGATAATTACTTTTTTTTTTCTTTGAGATGGAGTCTTGCTCTGTCGGGCAGTCTAAGTGCAGTGTCTTCATCACAGTTCACTGCAGCCTCAAACTCCTGGACTCAAGAGATCCTCCTCCCTCAGCCTCCTACGGAGTAGCTGGGACTACAAGCATGCGTTACCACACCCGGCTAACTTTTTTTTTTTTTTAGTAGAGGCGGGGTCTCGCTTCTGCTCAGGCTGATCTCCGGAGCTCAAGCGATCCTCCTGCCTCGGCCTCCCAGAGTGCTAGGATTACACGTGTGAGCCACTGTGCCCAGCCTGAAAATTACATTTTTAAGAAAATAGGCTGTAACTAAGAATATCTTCGTGATTGAATAAATTGAGAAGAGTATATAATGTGTAATTAGCAGAGATATCCCAATTGTTAAATGCTAAATTATAAACTATGAAGAGAAATATCTATAAACCTGACTTTTATGATGCATTGGAAAGTTTAAGGAAAATCAAAGATGCCGGAAAGTGTAAATGGATTGACGGCTTCAGATAAGCCTTTGGTTTTTATGATGCTAGCATGAAAGCATCCTGTATATCTCTCATGGTCACGACAATGCTTTCATTTATCTATGATTACTAAAAACGAGTACAGAAGCAATTTCTATGGTACACGTTGATGAGAAGGATGCCTGGGAAGAGAGGGAAACCCAACTGTGGAAAGTAGCGCCACCTAGGGGTCAAATTTGTTTCTAAGAAGAAACCAGCTTTTCCATAAATAACCAGGTCACTAGATCCTATTCTATTACATGGCCTTTGGGGAGCCGATAAAGGATTTTAGACTACAAGTGATGGCCTTGGAAAAGATAGGAAAAAACTTGTATGGTACATATTCCTTAGTAAATTGTCATTGAATATCTGAGAGACATGGCTCAGCAACTGTAGGTTATAATTTAAAAAAAAAAGGGCAACACTCAGAATTGCATTCTTTTTCCATGCCCTCCTGTGAATCAAGAAGAGATCGAGGAGCTCATTACCTAATATGTAGGTGAGGAAACAAGGCAGAGTAACGAAGATACTGAATCTGGACCTCGAAGAGGGGCAAGTAAAGTGCGTGCAGGGATTGAGTCCCAGATCCCTTAACCAGAGAATTTCAGATGCACAATAGACACCAAGGACCATCCAGGCCCTGGTTCCCAGCCCAGGAGTATGTCAAAATCACCTGCGGACTTCTTTTCATACTGAGCTGTGGGCCCATTCCTAGAGATGTGTTCAATTGGTCTGGCATGGGGCTTAGGTAGCCATATTTCTGAAAATCCCCCTGATGATTCTAATGTGCAGCAAGGGTTGAGATCTGCAAATCTATTCCAAATAACTTGATTATCAGCTGAGAAAAACGCGGTTCATAGAGGTGAAGTGGCTTTATCATAACTGGTCAGTCACTCTCAGAGTTGGTCTTAGACTCTTGGAAATGGACTCATAGCTTGGTGCTTACGTTTAATTTTCTGTAAGTTTCATTTTCTCCAGTTCCCATTTTCATATCTGTACACACACACAAACACACACACACACACACACACACACACACACACACAGAAACTTTGTTGGCCACTTCCTCTGTCCTTAATACTGCTCTGTCCTTTGTCATTCATGGGTCTGTTTATCCCAAAAAGACACTGAGCATTATTCTGAATACCTAATCAGCCTGGACCAGAGCCCCATGTAGCCCTAACTGCTGCCAAATGCACAGCAATGACAAAATAAACACTTTGTTCCCTTCTCTGCATGCTATCTAATGCACTGGAAAACGGAGAACCCAATTGTTTCTTTCCCTAAGAATTCGAAAGACGTCTTGCTCCCAAAAAAGAGAGGTCTTGTAATTCATTTATTTTAGCATTTGCTTATAGCCTGAACACTGATCTAAGTATGTGATAAAACCTGTCTTATTAATTTGGAAATTCTTATTGGTGTAGAACTTTCTAACTAGTTGTGGATGTCTCTGTGGAAGCTAACAGAATTCGTGAGACGGGAGATGAGCCAGGCAAGGGGAGTCAAGCAGAAATGATTTAGATCTGGCAGTGTGTCCAGGTAAATGTTTCTAGGAGGAAAATATCCTTGCACTTACTCTTCTGCTGCTTCTTATCTTAAAAGACAAAGTAGGTAGTTTCTTTAAAAGGAAGAATTATTTTTAACTTGATGGCTGAAAAGAATAATATTAATTAATAGTAATAATAATAGTTACCTCTTACTTGCATACATCTATGTGCCAGGTAGTTGCTAAGTATTTAAACTCAAATTCCATGAGCTACAGTTGAGGTTGAGTTGGAATTTGATCCAGAATGTGGGTGTCCATGCTGTAGCAATAGAGGGCTCTCTATTTCAAACCACAGCACCTGTCTTTTACCTCCTACCCAAGGGATCAGGGGTGAGGAGGCTTTCTTGGTATTGGCCTGTTTCCTTCATTCCTAAACCAGGTTGGTTGCTCATTTCTGACAAGCTGAAATCACAAGTCACAACCAGAAGCCTCGTTACTTACTTAGGAGTAGACTTTTACATATTTTAGTAGGTTCCTTCTATATATAGGAAGCTAACTGAAAATAGAGCTACCTCCCTCAATTTCTCTTTTTTGTGCAGTCATCCAGAATCCAGCCAACTTCTACAATAGGCAACAATGGACTGATGCTCTTCTTTAGGGTATGAGGTTGATCTGGTTCTGAATGCTGGCCAGTCACTGGGTTTCTGCAGCACAAGAAACACCTATGGTCCCAGATCCACAGTCCTTGGTAAACTAGTTTCATGTCATTCATTACCCAACTGGAAGCCCCTTAAAACACTGCACATGGTCTTTGCCTCTTGACTCTTGACAATACAGCTGTGGACAAAAGAATGGATTCATCTCTTTCAGAACTTTCCATCCCTTATTTCTAATTCTCTATTTCTCTCAGCTCAACTGTTTGATGTTTTTATGCAAATAAACTATGTCTGCTTTTATTATTTTCAGGCTACATGGAAAACCATGGCTGACAATGGCAGCCAAATAAATATGATACAGGTCCAGCACTTTCCATATTCATCTTTCCAGGGAAGCAAGTATGATTGTTTCCTCTCAATAAGGGGATTTTCTGTGATTAAATTAAAATGGAGGCTGGGGGTATGTTTGCTTTGCATAAGCTGCTGGAGATAGCACATGTATCAGGAGAGTGGAGTCATTTCTGGCAAAAAGTAGGGAGATGCAGAAGCTTGACAGACACTAGTAATAAGAACCAAACCTGTCCCCAGGATCAGTCTCAGCACAGCCTTAGTCTTCTTAACCTCTCACTATGAGCACAGAAAATTACCTAGGCCCATTTGAGGTGGGCCAAGCCAGGGTGTCATGGCACCAAGAAGACTGGACATACCTATGATAATCTTCCATAGCTACAATAATCATCTCTGGTGAATCAGAGCACCTTAGATGGCTAGAACGGAGAGAATTGAAAGTAAGAAAAATATTTTCATTAAGGCCTAATATGTTTTGTTTGAAGACTCAGGATGCTAGCACATACATTTTTTCCATTCCTATGAATAAGGAAGAGGTTATAAGCTGCTTATTGTCATTGACCACTCTCCAGGAGGGTATGCGAGGGTATGCAAAGGCCTAGAACAGTTAGTAAGACACAACTTCTCAGAGAATGGCAGCAAATTTAGGTTAAGACTCCTGTTCAGAGACTTACAGAATTTTATACCATAAAATGAACAATCCCTGGTTCTAGACAGGCAAACAGAGGCACAGATGGAATGGCTGACTTCTGCAAGTGCACACAGCCAATTTGCACAAGCCTCCCTGGCTCCAGGTTCAGTGTACTTTGCACCAACTAGCATCTCCCAGGTCCCAGGTTTCTCCAAGGCCAGGGGACAGGAAATAGCACATCAGTAAAACTGATTTCCCCAGCCTTCACACAGTAATTTTTCAAAACAGAATGAAGAAAGCCACCACCATTTAAGTTTCATTTTCCATGAGCAGGAATTCTGCTAGCTTTAGTTTCACTTTCTACTTTCAGTTTCCTGCTTGGTTTCCAACATCTAATTGCAATGACACACCCACAGCTTACATCATTGGTTGCTGTTTAGGTTCCTTATATATCCCTGCCCTGGGGGTTAAACTTTTCTGAAAATCCAGAAGACAGACTGGCCAGATCTCAGAGGAGCCCCTCCGGCTACCGCTACACGGCTACCGCTACACGAAACACTGCAGAACTGCTGCCTAGTTCACAGCAACCATGAGGTGAGGATTTCTCTGCTTCTCTGCCATAATGTCTAAAGTTTCTGAAAAAATGTTGATCAAATACCATCTCAACAGGTTTGGTCTCAGTGAGGGTCACGTTTCCTAGTTTGAGTATCTGCATATGGACTGCATGTGTGTGCGTGGGGGGTAGTGCTTGAGTGTGTGTACATTGATATCTACATAAATTGTTTTATTAATGCATTTTTACTTTTGTTAGCATGGCTATGCCTCATGCTATAGCCCAGAGAAGGGGAGGGAAACAGGGAAGGAGTTTTGCAGGAAGGGAGAAAATGATCCCACTATTGGAGACTCTTTTCCACCATACTCACTTCTATATGATCTGGGCAAGGAGTGGACAGTTTGCCTGGGTAGAGACATTGCTTTCTTCTGGCTCCTCACCACAGAGAAAAAGCAGGACCTACACGACTGTGAAAGCCACAGTCCTGGGGCCTCTCAGATGTCTTGAGTGAAATATTATGGGAACGTGGTGAGAGAAGTTCACAGCCTTCTTCTACAGGCTTCCTGTCTCACTTTCTGCACTGCTGGGCTCCTACGTCAGGCCTTCTCGGTCGAACTGGATTTACGATTAGTGGATTACCTCTTCCCTGGAAAAGCCAGGCACTCAGCAGATCCTAGAAATCCTCCTTTCCATAGGTCTTGGCGGGAGCTCTGTGCTTGGAAACATCCATATCTTCCTTACCTAAAGGGCCTAATGTGGGAACTTTTATATTGTCCAAACTGAATCTTCATTCAAGTAACCCCTGATATCAGCTGATAAAAAACCATTAATTAATATTGACTTGCATATTTCCCCTTAGTGCTCTCCTCCAGTGGACAAAATTCCAAAGGGGCAAAAGTTCCAGAAAATGCACCATTGCAGGCTTATGATCAACCCTCCTCCATAAACAGAGTTCTTACTGATAACTAAAATAATAATAAAAGAATAATAATAAATGTTATAAAAGTACCTATCACTTCCTGAATGCTTATTAAGTGCTAGCCTGGCTTCTAAAAGTATTATGTAAATTATTACATTTAATCCTCAAAAGAAACCTGTGAGTTTCTTCTGAGACAGGTACTTATACAGTCATGCATCCTTTAACAATGGGATTACACTCTGAGAAATGAACCCTTAGGTGATTTCGTCATTGTGCAAACATCACAGAGCATGCTCACACCAACCCAGGTAGTGTAGCCTGCCACACACCTAGGCTATGCGATATTGCCCATCGCTCCTAGGCTGCAAACCTGTATAGTATGTTATTGTACTGAATACTGTAAGCAACTGTAACACAATGCTAAGCCTTTGTATATGTAAACATATCTAAACATAGAAAAGATACAGTGAAAATAAAGTATTAAAATCTTATGGGACCACCGCCATTTGTGTGGTCATCACTGACTGAAACATCATTATGCAGTGCATGGGTGTGTTGTCCTGATTTTGCAATAAGGAATCTTAGATTTAGAAATGTGAAGATCACACAGACTATAAATGGCAGCACTGAGATATGAGTCTCTAAATTCAATGATATTTTATTAAACCTTTAAACCAATGTTTCTGAAAAGGTGCCATTGGGGGTTCATGAGACCATTTCAGATGGCATACTAATTAGCTTTTCTGGTTTATTTCTTTTATGTTTATTTCAATATGTACTAGGAAATATGGGGATGTCCAGAAAGTATCCAGCCATGTAATATGAAAAATAGTATTGAATTGAAAAATAGTATTTCATATTGTATATGAAAAATAGTATACAGACACACACACACACACACACCCCTCTATAAAATTTGCAGAATTTCTATTCAGGTTAGCAATATGATTTTTTTATTGTGAAAGAATACATATAAGATAAAATTTATTATTTTAACTATTTTTTTTATTTCAGCATATTATGGGGGTACAGATGTTTAGGTTACGTATGTTGCCCTTCCCCCCTCCCCCCCAAGTCAGAGTTTCAAGTGTGTCCATCCTTCAGATGGTGTGCATTGCACTCTTTGTATATGCATATACCTGTCCCCTGTCCCCTCCCCCTCCCCCCTGCCCGACATCCAATAGATGTTATTCTTATATGTGCGCTTATGTGTTCATCAGTTAATACCAATTTGATGGTGAGTACATGTGATGCTTGTTTTTCCATTCTTGGGATACTTCACTTAGTAGAATGGGCTCCAGCTCTATCCAGGAGTATACAAGAGGTGCTATATCACCATTGTTTCTTAAAGCTGAATAGTACTCCATGGTATACATATACCACATTTGATTAATCCACTCAGGTATTGATGGGCACTTGGGTTGTTTCCACATCTTTGCAATTGTGAATTGTGCTGCTATAAACATTCAGGTGCAGGTGTCTTTCTTACAGAGTATCATTTGTTCTTTTGGGTAGATGCCTAGTAATGGGATTGCTGGATCGAATGGTACTTCTACTTGTATCTCTTTAAGGTATCTCCATATTGCTTTCCACAGAGGTTGCACTAGTTTGCAGTCCCACCAGCAGTGTATGAGTATTCCTATCTCTCCGCATCCACGCCAACATTTATTGTTTTGGGACTTTTTTATAAATGCCAGTCTCACTGGAGATAAGTGATATCTCATTGTGGTTTTGATTTACACTTCCCTGATGATTAGAGATGTTGAGCATTTTTTCATATGTTTTTTGGCCATTATTCTGTCTTCTTTTGAAAAGTTTCTGTTCATGTCCTTTGCCCACTTTTTGATAGGGTTGTTTGATTTTTTCTTGTTGATTTTCTTGAGTTCTAAGTAGATTCTAGTTATCAGCCCTTTATCAGATTTGTAGCATGCGAAAATCTTCTCACATTCTGTAGGTTGTCTGTTTGCTCTTGTGACAGTTTCTTTGGCTGTGCAGAAGCTTTTTAATTTGATCAGGTCCCATTTATTTATTTTTGTTGTTGCTGTGATTGCCTTTGGGGTTTTGTTCATAGATTCTTTGCCTAGGCCAATGTCTAGAAGAGTATTTCCAACATTTTCCTCTAGAATTCTAATAGTTTCACTCCTTAAGTTTAAATCTGTTACCTAGCGTGAGTTGATTTTTGTGAGAGGTGAAAGGTGTGGATTCTGATTCAGTCTTCTACATGTGGCTATCCAATCTTCCCAGCATCATTTACTCAATAAGGATTCTTTTCCCCAGTGTATGTTTTTGTCTGCTTTGTCAAAGATTAGATGGCTATCTGAGGATGGTTTTATATCTGGGTTCTCAGTTCTGTTCCAATGGTCAATGGCTCTATTTCTGTGCCAGTACCAAGATGTTTTTATTACTACAGCCTTATAATAAAGTTTGAAGTCTGGTAAGTTGATACCTCCCATTTTGTTTTTATTGCCTAGAATTGTTTCTGCTGTGCGGGGTCTTCTCTGGTTCCATACGAAGTGTAAAATTAATTTTTCTACATCTGTGAAGAATGAAGTTGGTATTTTAATAGGGATTGCATTGAATCTGTAGATCACTTTGGGTAGTATAGACATCTTAACAATGTTGATTCTGCCGACCCACGAGCATGGTATGGTTTTCCACCTGTTTATGTCCTTTGCTGTTTCCTTCCTCAATGTTTCATACTTCTCCCTGCAGAGGTCTTTTACCTCCTTAGTTAAATATATTCCTAGATACTTTATTTTCTTTGTTGCTATTGTAAAGGGAATTGAGTCTTTGATTTGGTTCTCGGAATGACTGCTATTGGCTATTTTAACTATTTTAAAGTATAAATTTAGTGGTATTTATTATATTTCTATGTTGTACAACTATCACCACAAGTTCAAGAACGTTTTTGTCACTATGAGGAGAAACTCCATACCCATTAAACAGCCACTCCTTGCTCGTCCCCTCCCTCAGGCCCCAGCAACCATTAATCTGCTTTCTGTCTCTGTGGGTTTGCCTATTGTGGATATTTCATGTAAATGGAAACATACAATATGTGGCTGTAGTGAATTCTTATCATTTTATATTGCCTCAGCATCCATTTGAAATATTAAGCTGGGCTTTCTCATAGCAGAATCAGGGCTTGGTCACCCTTGACACAATTTCAAGTTCTCCATCTCCTCCCAGTTCCTCAGTGTGATTGATCCAGATACTTGCCTTACATAACCACCTCCTGGTGACCACTTTCCCACAGAACAGCTAGATACAACCTACTTGACTCTCCCCACTGACTCCACATGTACTGGGCAGTTAAGCCTCAGTAACCACCTCTCAGTCACACCATGACCCTTTGGTACTTGCACCTGCTTACCATAAACCCACCAATTAGAGCTCTCTGCAGGAAACCCACCTAGGTCACTCCAATAAGTCTTGGCCCATGGGTTCTTCACTCTCTCGCTCCCCATCTGCTAGTTAAGTATGTATGTCTTCAGCATGTATGTAAATAATAAACTGCTTCTGCTATTTCATGTGCCTTTTTTAGTCACCTGTTTTGTGTCTCAACTGACAAATACACCTGAACCAAACTTCTTTCCAGGTCAAGGATTTCCTAGACAGTCACTATCTTGGTAGGAATAAATGACACAGGCTAGACAAGAGCCACAAGGGCATCTGCCAATATAAACAAGTTTCCTGTGAGACGGGCACCTGGTCCTAGGTCAGACACTTAGGCATTAGCCTGTCCACCAGGATAAAGAATTATCCCATGAAAGGCACACTGGAAACATCCACAACCAAATCCCTTGGAGCTCCATCAGGGCAGAGCTATAGTTTGTAGCCACTCTTATGAAGGAAACCTCAAGACCAAATTAGAAAAAGAAAAATTAGAGGCCTTTTGGATTGGCTTATTTCATTTAACATAATGTTTTCAAGGTTCATCCATGTCATAGCTTATATCAGTACTTCATTCATTTTTATAGCTAAATAATATTCCACTTTATGGATATACTGCACTTTGTCTATTCATTCACCAGTTGATGAACATTTGGGTTGTTTCCGTCTTTTAGCTATTGTGAAGAATGCTGCTGTGAACATCTGTGTACAAGTTTTTGTTTGAACATTTGTTGTTAACTATTTTAAGTATATAACCAGGTGTGGAATATATCCAGGAATATATACCCAGGTCATATACTAATTCTATGTTTAACTTATTGAGGGACCATCTAACTGTTTTCCATGTCCCCTGTACCATTTTGCATTCCCAACAGCAATGTATGGGGCTTCCAATTTCCCCACATCCTTGCTTTCTTAGTCCTTTTTGTGTTGCTGTAACAGAGTACATGAGGTTGAGTAATTTGTGAAGAAAACTATATAAAGACACCTCTTACAACTCACTTTTCTAAGTTAACTGTATATTACGAAAGTCCCTCATTCAACTAGTTTTGATCTAATTCATTCAGTCTAGTGGCTGCATAATATTCTATGGTATACGTATACTATAATTTTTTTAACCATTCTCTATTATGTCCAGTTTGTTGCTGATATATACAATTTTGTAATGAATATTCTTGAACATATATCCTTATATATTAGTGTTTTTATCCATGATACAGATTCCATGGGGTGGAATTACTTTGTTAAAGGAAATGTGTATTTTCTATTTTAATGACCATTATCAGCTTGATCTTCATAAAGGCCATATCAATTCATGGTTGCAGAAATTATGTCCTCACCCATTTAAACTTTTGTCAGTCTGAGTGGAATAAAGTTAGAAATCACTGTTTCTCTGATTTGCATTTCCCTAATGGCTAGGGGCTTAGAGCATCTTTTTTCATGTTTATTGGCCATTCATATTTGCTCTTCCACAAATTATCTATTCATAGTGATTTCTGTTGGTCTGTTGAGTTATTACCAATTTGTAAAAACACTTTATATGTTACAGAATCAGAATCTTCTCCATCTGTACTAAAAATATTTCCTGCATTCTTGTTATTTTCATATTTACATTGCTTAGGACATCTTTGCCACAAAAATCTTTTTATTATGATAAGATATACATAACATAAAAGTTACCATTTTAACCATTTTTAAGTGTACAGTTCTATGACATTAAGTACATTCACTTTATTGTGCAACCATCACCACCATACTATCTCCAGAATTTTTTCATCTTCCCGAACTGAAAGTCTGTATCCATTAAGCACTAACTCTCCATTCTCCTCTCCCAGCCCCTGGTAATCACTATTATACTTTCTGTCTCTATGAATGTGACTACTCTAGGTACTTTATATAAATAGAATGACACAATATTCGTCCTTTTGTAACTGGCTTATTTCACTTAGCATAGTATCTTCAAGGTTTATCCATGTTATAGCATGTATCAGAATATTCTTTCTTTTTAGGGCTGAAAAATATTCCATCATATGTATATATCACATTTTGTTTATCCATTAATTCGTTAATGTACACTTAAGTCACTTCTACTTTATGGCTATTATGAATAATGCTGGCATGAATATGGGTATATAAATATCTTTTTAAGTCCCTGCTTTCACTTCCTTTGGGTACATAACCAAAAGTACAATTGCTTGATCATCTAGTAATACAATGGTTAATTTTTCAGGAATTACCATACCATTTTCTGCAGTGGCTGCCCTTATTTACATTCCCACCAGCAGCATACAAGTGTTCCAATTTCTCCACATCTTACCAATACTTGTTATTTCCTCTTTTGTTTTTTGAGTTAAAAAAAAAATATATATATGTATATATATAATGGGCATCCTAATGAACATGAAGTGTATCTTGTGGTTTTGATTCTCATTTTATAAATTTCATTAGTTATGTTGAACATCTTTTCCTATGTTTACTGTCTATTTATATATTTTCATTGGAGAAATGTCTATTCAAGTCCTTTGCCTGTTTTTTAATCAGTTTGTTGTTATTGTTGTTGTTGTTTTTGCTAAGCTATAGAGGTTCTTTACATATTCTAGATAGTAATCCTTTATCAGATACATGGTTTGGAAATATTTTCTATCATCCTATGAGCCATCTTATAACTCTCTTGATAGTGTCCTTTGAGGATCCAAAATTTTTAATTTTCATGAAGTCCACTTATCTATTTTTATTGTTGTTGCCTGCGATTATGATATCGCATCCAAGAAATCATGGGCAAATCCAATGTCATGAAGATTTTTTCTTAAGTTCTCTTCTGAGTTTTATAATTTTAGGTCATACATTTAGGTCTTTGATCCATTTTGAGTTAATTTTTGTATGTGGTGTAAGGTAAGGGTTCAACTCTATCCTTTTGCATCTGGATATTAAGTTTTCCCACACAATTTGTTGAAAAGACTGTCCTTTCCCCAACAAATGGTCTTGACACTCTTGTCAAAAATCATTTCACCACTTGTTATGAACTGAATTATGTGCCCCCCACCAAATTCATACGTTGAACTCTTTACCCTCAAGGTGACTGTATGTGAAGATAGGGTCTAAAAGGAGGTAATAAAGGTTAAGTGAAGTGTTAAGGGTGGGGCCTTAATCCAATAGAGCTGGTGTCCTTATAAGAAGAGGAAGAGATGTCAGAGCTCTCTTTCTCTCTATGCTGCCAAGGGAAGGCTATGTAAGGATACAGAGAGAAAGTGGTCATCTGTAAGCCAGGAAGAGAGTCCTCTCCAGGAACCAAATTGGCCATCACCTTGATCTAAGACTTCTAGCCTCTAGAACTATGACAAAATAAATTTCTGTTATTTAAGCCACCCAGTCTACGATGCTGGTCATAACCAGCCTGAGCTGACTAATACAACCATATACGTGAGGGTTTATTTCAGGGCTCTCTATTCTTTTCCATTGGTCTATATGTATGTCTTAATTCCAGTACCATAATGTTTTGATTACTGTAGCTTTGTGGAAAGTTTTAAAATCAAGAAGTATGAGATGTCCAACTTTGTTCTTCTTTTTCAAGATTGTTTTGGCTATTTGGTATCCCTTGAGATTCCATGCGAATTTGAGGTTGAGTTTTTCTATTTCTGCAAAAAAAAAATGTCATTGTGATTTTGATTGGGATTGCATTGAACTGACATCTTAACGATATTATGTCTTCCAATCCATGAACAGGGGATGTCTTTCCATTTATTTGTGTCTTCTTTAACTTCTTACAGCAACCTTTTGTGGTTCTCAGTGTACAATTCCTTTGCTTCCTTGGTTAAGTATATTCCTAAATATTTTATGCTTTTTGATACTAATATAAATGAGATTGGTTTCTTAATTTTCCTTTTGGATTGTTTGTCATCAGTGTATAGAAACACAACTAGTTTTCATATGTTGATTTTGTATCCTGCAACTCTGCTGAATTTGTTTACTAGTTCTAACAGTTTATGTGTGAAAGTTTTAGGATTTTCTGCATATAAGATTATGTCATTTGTGAACAAGGAATTTTACTTCTTTACCACTTTGGATATCTTTTATTTCTTGTTCTTTCCTAATTGCTCTGTCTAGGACTTCCAGTATTATGTCAAATAGAGGTGTTGAAAGTGGGTATCCTTTCCTTTTTCCTGATCTTGGAGGAAAATCTTTTGGTTTTTCACTGTTGACTATGATGCTAGTTGTGGATATTTCACTTGTGGCCTTTATTGGGTTGAAATAGTTTCCTTCTGTAAGTAGTTTGTTAACTGTTTTTATCATAAAAGGGTGTTGAATCTTGTCAAATGCTTTTTCTGCATCAATTGAGATGTCATGTGATTTCTTTCCCATTATTCTATTAATGTGGTATATTACATTGATTGGTTTTTGTACATTGAACTATTCTTTTGTATGATATTCTCTACTTATATGACATTCTTGAAATGACAAAATTACAGAGATGCAGAACAAATTAGAACAAATTAGTGGTTACCAAGGGCTAGGGATGTTTAGGGGGTGCAGGTGAGGAGGTGACAGGTGTGACCCTAAAGGGTTAGCATGAGGGAGATGTGATGGTGACAGAGTAATTCTGTAGCTTGATTAAGGCGGTGGTTCCATGAGTTCACTCATGTGAAAAAATGACCCAGAACTGTACACACACATTGTTGTTATACCACTAAAATCCAAGGACAAGCACTAAAATACAAAGTGTTGTATCCAGCTTTTTTCTTTTGGCTGTTCCTCGCCTAACAAAGAATCTGCTTTTGTTTCCACAGTCGGAATGCTGATGATCATCCAGTCAAGGGTAACCTGGTTCAGCTGAGGTGTCACTTCACATGGGGGCTGCAAATTGAAGACTCTGAAATGCCTGATTTAGAAAACAGGGTCTTGGACCAGATTGAGTTCCTAGACAGCAAATACAATGTGGGAATACACAACCTACTGGCCTATGTGAAACACCTGAAGGGCCAGGATGAGGAAGCCCTGGAGAGCTTGAAAGAGGCTGAAGGCTTAATCCAGAGAGAGCATGCTGGCCAATCAGACGCGAGAAGTGTGGTGACCTGGGGCAACTTTGCCTGGGTGTATTACCACATGGGCAGACTGGCAGAAGTCCAGACTCACCTGGACAAGGTGGAGGACACTTGCAAGAAGTTTGCAAATCTCTTCCGCTATAGAATGGAATGTCCTGAGATGGACTGTGAGGAAGGATGGGCCCTGCTGAAGTGTGGAGGAAAGAATTATGAACGGGCCAAGGCCTGCTTTGAAAAGGCTCTGGAAGTGCACCCCGAAAACCCTGAGTTCAACACCGGGTATGCAATCACTGCCTATCGCCTGGATGGCTTTAAATCAGCAATAAAAGGTCACAAGGGGTTTTCTTTGCACCCCCTAAGGAAGGCTGTCAGGCTAAATCCAGAGGATACATATATTAAGGTTCTCCTTGCCCTGAAGCTTCAGGATGAAGGACAGGAAGATGAAGGAGAAAGGTACATTGAAGAAGCTCTGGACATCATGTCCTCACAGACCTATGTCTTCCGATATGCGGCCAAGTTTTACCGAAGAAGAGGCTCTCCAGATAAAGCTCTTCAGCTCTTAAAAATGGCCTTGCAGGCAACACCCACTTCTGCCTTCCTACATCACCAGATAGGGCTTTGCCACAGGGCACAAATGATCCAAATAAAAGAAGCTACAAAAATGCAGCCTAGAGGGCAGAATAGGGAAAAGGTAAACAAAATGATAAGATTAGCCATATTTCATTTTGAATTTGCTGTGGAACAAAAGCCCACATTTGAGATTGCTTGCTTAGACCTGGCAAAAATGTATATAGAAGCTGGTGATTACAGAAAAGCTGAAGACACTTTTCAGAAAGTGTTATGCATGAAACCTGCTGTAGAAGAAACAATGCAAGAGGTACATTTATACTATGGCAAATTTCAGGAATTTCAAAAGAAATGTGAAGTCAATGCAATTATCCATTATTTAAAAGCAATAAAAATAGGAAAGCCCTCATTTGCAAGGGATAAAAGTATCTATTCTTTGAAGAAATTGGTTTTAAAGAGACTTCAGAGAAATGCATTAGACCTGGAAAGCTTAAGCATCCTCGGGTTTGCCTACAGATTAAAAGGAAATATGAATGAAGCCCTAGACTACTATGAGCGGGCCCTGAGACTGGCTGCTGACTTTGATAACTGTGTGGGACAAGGTCCCTAGGCACTGAAATATCAGCTGCTTTCACATTTCATCTGGTTTTAGGTTAACATGTACTAATCATCTTTTCTGCTTGCTACTTTCAGAAACGTATTATATAAATTCACTGTAATGATGTAATTTTTGAACAAGTACTCAAATCTGATAAAATATTAGTTGTATTCAGAAATAATAGTATAGAATGTGTGTGTGAGAGAGAAACAAACCATTTGTATGAATTCTATACTGTAGACAAAAACCCTGTTGGATAGATTTGTAGCAAATAAAACATTACACTTATATACACTAAAATGTTTAATTGATCCATTATATCAACAGTTTTCAGTGCTAAAGACCAACAATACTGGGGTGAACAGCTGGACATTTTGACCAAACTTCATTCGGTTTACAATCTAGTGAGAGAGACAGATAGTAAAATAAGTACACAATCAATTAAAGGTCAGCTTTCACCATGAAGATGTTTTGTTTAATTCACTGTCAAATTGTTGTAAGGAGTTTCTCTTATTTTATGCCGTTTTTATTTGAAGCACTATTTATCAAGTCATTTTCTGATATTGATCTATTAAAGAAATATGACAAGAATGCTAAATGATCTGAGACACAATCTGTAGCCATCATCTTTGATAATGAAGAATCACATTTTTATTAAAAGGCAATGCACAACAAATAATATTGTTGGAAGGAAAAAATAAAGAAGCAATGTCATTGATTTTTCATTCTTATACATGTTTTAGGGGAGGATGTATTAGTTTCTGATTGTGACTGTAACAGATTGCCACTAACTTTGTGATTTAAAATCTGACAAATTTATTATCTTACAATTCTGGAGGTCAGAAGTCTGAAATGTCTGGGCCAAAATCAAGGTACTGACACAGCTGCATTCCTCCGGAGGCTCGAGGGGACAGCCTTTTTTGTGCCTCTTCCAGCTTCTAGAGGCTGCCTGCACTCCAGCTGATGACTGGGTCATCCATCTCCAAAGCCAATAGTGCAGCATCTTTAAATAGGCGCACCTGGATAATTCAATATAATCTCCCCATCCCCAGATCCTTAATTTAATAACATCTGCAAAGTCCCTTTTGCTATGTAAAGTATTAAATAACATGTTCACAGGTTCTGGGGATTCAGACCTGGGCATCTTGGGGCGGGGGGGCACTACTGCAGAGCACCACAAGAAAATCCCCAAATTTGGGGCTCCCAATCCATTTTGCACCAATTATTTAACATTTTCGCTCCTTTCAGTAGATACTGATTTCATCCGTTGTCCTTGAGAAGATAGTACAGAACACATCACAAACTGAATGCTAAATTTTCATTAGGAATACTTGATCTGTGTTTATATTTTATAAAATTTGCAACTAAAAAAAGTAGATTCGTTTATCTAAGTTTTCCCAAATATTCTTTTAAGTTTTCTATTAACTTAATTATCAGTTTTTGAACTTAGATTAAAAATTCAGGTCCTCAACAGCCACATGTGACTAGTGGTTTCTGTATTAGACAGTATGGCTATAAAAAGCTGTTAAAAGTGATTGTCTTAAGTGAGACACTGGCCTCAGGCTGTAAAATTCAGGGGATAGGGGTGCCAGTAGCTCAGTGACCAAGATAGACAATATCTTAATGTAATATGTTTTTAAAAATTCAAAATCAATGCAAATGATGTATAACGGACAGAATATAGAGGTTTTGAATACGACATTAACTCACTAAAGCCCTTGTCTGTTTTCTTTATTGCTATATTGACAGTAATTTGAACAAGGTCTGGCTCTTACAGTTGTTCAGTAAAATTTGTTGAATGCATGAAGGACTGAATTTGGAGGCGCAAAAATTTTAATGTATGGGTATTTGGTATTTTCTGCTTAGATTCCCAATACCACCCCCATCTTTATTGGGACTTTATTACAAAAAGCACCATTGGCAAGGGTGTGTAAGAAAAGCATTCTCCTACAGTTGTGGGTAGGAATGTATAAAATCTCTTTCTAAAGCTATTTGGCAATATCCATCAAAACTTAAAATGTACATACATTTGAGCCCACAATTTCTCTACTTTAAATATAACGAACACAAATAATAGCGTAGGTGTCCAGCATTGCCGCGTTCGTTGCTTGTTGAATCAAAAGACTAGAATGGAAGCAGGGAAATCAGTTTCCACTTAGGATGTAGAAAGGTGGAAAGAGCATCACTGCTACACTTAAATAGTGTTGAACAATCTCCCGTCGTTTTTATTTAAAAAGAAAACAAAAGGTAACCAGGCAGCACGCAGACTCAGCCAGGCAGGTGAGAGCCGAGACCAAAGGGCCGAGGCCCAGCTGCAAATTCAACTCCGAACGACCCTGGGCTCCGCTCGCGGCTCTGCTCGTGAGTTAAGTTTCGGTTTCCCGAGGTGGCCTCGGAGCGCTCGCGGGTCAGATTCCCTTTCTAGTTTCCTTTTTCTGGTCGGGTCCCTCCTTTAACAAAGGCGGTGGCGGGGCCGGGTCCCAGCCCGCCGGGCCTGGCTGCAGCGCGCGCACGCGCACACGCACGCCGCCCGCCCGCCCGCCCGCCGCGGTGCGGGTCTGAGCAGAGCGCGAGCGGACCGCGCCGCCGGCAGGGGCAGAGACCACCCGCCATGAGGTAAGGGGTCTTCTCCGCCTCTCCACCCAAGCCCTGCGTCGGCCGGTGTTGCAAATCGGTGTTCTTTTATTCGTTTGCAGCGCAGGGCTGCGGCCCTTTACGTGGCCGAGCCCCTCGCGCCGGCCGCCGGGCGTCAGCGCCTGGGACCCTCCGCGGGAGCCCTGCCCTGTCCGCCGCGTCTGAAGTCGGGCCTGTTGGGGCGCGTGTCCGAGCGGACGCTTCCCGGAGGTCCCGTCCCATCCTGGGCGGCTGCGGCCGGAGCCGTCGGGGCGTGTGGCCGGGCGACGCCCCCCAGAGGCCTGTCCAGCGACAGTGACCATGTTGGGTTCGCGGCCGCCGCCTCCGGGAGAGCTCGTCAGCGCCTGCAGCGCCCTCCTCTCCCGCCGGGGAGGCCCCCGGGCCATTCCGGGCGGCGGCTGAGGGGACCGGTCTCCTTCGGCCCGTCGCGTGCCTCTCCTTGAAGCTGCTTTCTCTCGGCGTGGCACGCGCCGTTTCCCTAGCCCTCCGGGCGTGGTGTATGCCTGCCACTGCCACTGCCACTTTACCTTTCTGATGTGGCGGTCTGAGTTCTTCTTCCTTTCCCGGGAGCTACCTTTGTACCATGTACATACAGATTGTTACCGTGCCACCCAATCCATTATTTTATGAGGATTTCTTTATCTGTCTCCTTGACTAATTTAGCACGGTGGGGTCTGTTTCTTGCCCATTTTGTATTCCCCAGGGCTAGCACCCTGCCCTGCGCGAGGTTAGTGAATTTAATCACTGGCATTTAATCAGTTGAGGAATGAAAGGTTAAGATCTTGGGCTCTAAAAGCAGGATAATCTTTTGTTCCAAATCCTGATCCTGAACACCTACTAGCTGGTGTCCCAGAGCAAAGTTTCTTAAACACTGTTAAGTCTGTTTCTTTTCTGTAAAAATGAATGGCATCCATCTCTGGGGACTGTGGAAAGGGTTAATTGACTGCTTAGCATATAATATGTGTGCAGTAAATGTTAACCATTTTCATTATTATAAGTTAAAAAGAAGTTTACCATTTATAAGAAAGGAGGGAGCTAACACGAAGGGGCTTGGAAAAGCAACTAGGAAAAGGGGATGGAGTACACTGTATGTGCAGGACTGGATGAAAGAGGGTTTGGTCCCATTGGGGACTGTCTCCCAGGGACAATTAAAGACTACTTCTTCCTAGCAAAAGAACAGAATTGTCTAAAGATAAAAGGTGCCTCTTTAGACACAGTAGCCTCTATCAGCTTCCCAGAAACAAAGTTAAAAAATCAAATAGACAAAGTTTAAACAGTAAAACTTTTATGGTGTCCAGTTGTGCATAAATTCCATAGAGCCTGGGCAAAGCACTTTAGTGCCTGATTGTCCTTTTGAGATCTCACAGCCACATTCATGATACCTCTCCTCATCCTCTTTGGGCTGGGCTGGTAGCCACCTTCAGAACAGAGACAGATGTTTGTTTCACTCTGTGATGGGCAGGAAGTCATTAAGGTCCTGTTGTCATGGATTTGGGTAGGCTGTAAGGGAATGTCATTTCTCATCTATGCTTTTGGCGCAGTTACACAAGTGAAAGGAAACAATTACCAAGGGACAACCCAACCAGGTTTCCCAGTCAGGATCACAGGAAACAATTCAAAACCTACTTTCAAAATCCAAACTTGAAGCCAGACAGTTCATACCAAGATGTAAAAGAAGTGGAACAGGGACTACTGAAATGGGAGAAAGTTAGGAGACATTAGTAGGAAGAAAAGAACTGGCAGGAATTCATTTATCTGGAATTCAGGTGCTTTTTATCTAGTCCTGTACCTCTGGGCTGGACATACCAGGAGCTGGCCGTATATAACTGTATGCATTCATTCAGCAATATTTACAGTCCTGTGTCGCTTAACTATGGGAATTCATTCGGAGAAATGCGTGGTTAGGTGATTTCGTCACATTGCAAACATCACAGAGTATGCTCACACAAACCTAAATGGCACGGCTTCCTATACACCTAGGCTATATGGTACAGCCTGTCGCTCCTAGCCTGCAAACCTGTACAGCATGTTTCTATGCTGCATAATCAGGCAGTTGTAGCACACTGGTAAATATTTGTGTATCTAAACATATTTAAAGTTATAAAAAATACAGTAAGTTTCCTGTGAGAAGGGCTTCTGGTCACAGACACTTAGGCATTAGACTGTCCACCAGGATAAAGAATTATCCCATGAAAGGCACACTGTATCAAGGTCCCTCACAACTTTCCTGCCAAAACAATAATCTCGTCTCTGTCCTCATTTTTTCCACGTCTTAAAATCATTTTACATGTTGAATATCCATCTCTTTCTTGAAATAAATACTTTTTTCCTTAGGCTTCCATTACGATTGCACCAGGTTTCTTCGTTTTCTTACTTCCTCACCGAATATTCTTTCTTGGCCTTCTTTCCTGATCCTTCTACTCTGTTGACCTGGAGTGTCTTACAGCTTAGTTTGTGACCTTCTTCTTTATCTATGGCCACTCCTTAGGTAATCTCATTCTGGGTCTCATAGTTTTCAAGTTGATCTGTA